AACAATTAAACTACTGTAGTAGTCAAGCTGAGAGGGGATGAGAGCCTGGACTAAGGCGGTGGCCATGGAATATGGAATGGATGCAAAAGATCTTGTGGAAGCAGAATCAATCATGGGGTCAAGGAGAGTGAGGGATTGAGGATGATGACAATGGTGACTAGAAGAATTGGCATGTCTGTGACAGAAATAAGTGGTTAGGAAAATGATTGGACTCTAAATTGCCCCTATTTGACTATAATAGCCTTGAAAGTGGTTTTGTTTTATTTTATGTATGTGAGCCTGTAAGCATCATGGGTACACCTAGCCAAAGCTTTTATGGAATTTAGTAGTAAAGAAACATGTTAGATAAAGCCAACTTTCTTGTTTAAGCAGAAATACCCTTAATTTTTTTTTTCAAAGTCAATATATTGCCTTATGTATTGGTTGATTTTTTTTTTTTTAATCGCGCTTTCATTTTTATGACTAAAACTGAGGTGATATCACAAAGTCCTTTATGGAATCATAAAATGTGGAAGCTAGAAATTACCTTCGAACTCATTTAATTCAATTTATTAGTTTTATAAGTGAAGAATCTGAGACCAGAAAAGTAAAGAGACTTGCCCAAGGTTACACAGCTAGTTACTGGCCAAGCCAAGACTAAATTCCAGTCTCCTGACTCCTACTCCAGTTTTTTTTTCTGCTCTCCTATACTTCCTAGGTGGCACAGTGGATAGAGGGCCAGGCCTGGATTCAGGAAGATTCATCATCATGAGTTCAATTCTGGCCTCAGAAACTTCCTAGCTGTGTGACCCAGGGAAAGTCATTTAACCCTGTTTGCCTCAGAGTCCTCATTTATAAAATGAGCTGGAGAAGGAAATGGCAAACCCACTCCAATATCTTTGCTAAGAAAACCCCAAATGAGGTCACAAATAATTGGACATGACTGAAAATCAGCTGAGCAACAACTGAAATACTTCCTTTCAACTTAGTTTATTGATTTAATCCAAGTCAGCAAACTTCTCTCAAGTATGTGCTATGTGTAAGGCACTGGGCTAGTCTCTGGGTATACAAAGGTGAAAAACACCATAGTGATGTAAATTGGTTGCTTTCTAGTCTCCATGGGGCTTTTTAAACTGCTTCCATGTCAGGAAAAAAAAAGAAACTTTCCTTGCTGATTTGTGCTTTGCCTTCATCTGTCAAGTGAGTGACTTTTTGCCCCCTTCATAAAGGTCTGGAGGGGGTGAAGTCTTCATAGCTGAATCATCGTTATATCATTGTTATAGTACTGATGGTGCCGTTTAGTCTAATGTTGTTTCATAAGCCAAGAATAGCATATATTTTTTAAAGTATGTTTACTCATTTAGAGCACTAGTCAGTCATTGACTGTTAGTATCATTTTTATTTTGAATTGTGAAGGGGAAAAATATGTGCCTATGGTGTTATCATAAGACTTTAGAGAAGACACATTCCATTATTTATAATGTTAATATCAACTTATCTTTGTTTATAATGTTAATTTTATAGCAGTTATTGGTTTTTAATAATTATTTTATAGCAATTTACAGTTTACAGTAATTCCACAGGAATTTTATCTTCACAAGAAGGAAGTACTTATTGGATCACAAATTTAGAGCTATGAGGAACTTTGGAGGTCATCAAGTCCAGTTCCTTTTCTCCCACATGCACACTTTTTATATATATAGAAAAATTGAGGCCAAGAGAGGTTAAGTGACTTGTCCAAAGTCATCATAGTAGAAAGTGTTAGAATCCAGATCCTCTGACTCACGTCCAGCAATCCTTTACTATGTCATATTGCTTCCCTTAGAAGTGGAACAGTTGTTATGCCTATTTTACAGTTAAGGGAAATGAAGCCTAGGGAAATTAAATTATTTTCCCAAAGTTTCACACCTAGTACATGCCTTGTACTAGAACCTGTCTTCTGATTCTTCAGTCAGTACTCATTAAGATATAGTAGGAAATGCTTCTAATTTCTTCCTGTCTAAAAATTGTTTCTTATTCACTGCATCTCAGTACTAGGTTTTTCTCTCTTTCTACCCCATCCTGTTTACCAGTTTTCAAATAATGGTGTCTCTATACTGTCATCAGTTAACCAAAAGTTTAATTGACTACTCATCTCAGAGCATCTCATCTTCAAAACCCCAGGTTCCTGTTCATTTAGGTGCTGTTTAGACTTCATATGCTTATTTGGGAGAAATAGAATTTAGACTTATTATCTTACGCCATTTGTCATAGTATGCTGAAAATGGATCCAAGACCTGAATATTAAAAGTCATGACATTTAAAAAATAATAATAATTAGAAGAGAATCAGATCAAGTCCCTTTCAGAGTTATGGCTAGGAGGAGGATTCTTAATCAAACAAGAGGTAAAAGTGATCACCAAAAGTAAAATAATTTGAGTTACACAAAACTGAAAAGCTTTTGGGTGAATCTAATTAACATAATTAGCATAAGAATGAATAAAATTAATGTGGAAAAATATTTCCTGAAGTATCAGTGATATAGAAAGCTAACATACACGAGAGAGTCATTCCTTGGTTGATAAAATAATCAAAGGGTATGAACCAACAGTTCCCAAAAGAAGAATTAAAAACTGTTATCCATTATATAAAAGATTGTTCCAAATCACCAATAATAGAAGAACTGTGATTCAAAACAAGTCAGAGATTTCATGTCACACCAAGCAAATTGGCAAAGATAAGAATAATCAGTATTGGAGGGGTTGTGGAAAGAGGCACGTTAATATACTCTAAAAAAGACACCTAACCTAACCTAGATTATTGCAACAGCCCCCCAGGTGCTCTCCCTTTCTCAAGTCTTTCACCATTCCAGCTCATTCCACACACTGCCGCCGAAGTAATTTTTCTTAAGTATACATATGAATATGTGACTCCTTAACTGAACCAACAGCATTGGTTTGTTGTTTGACTCTAGGATCATATATAAAGTATTCAGATTTTAAAGCCCTAAACAACCTGATCCAACCTTCATATCCACCTCATTGGACACAACTCCCCCCCTACTCTCTTTAATTCACTCAACGTGGCCTTTTCTCTATATCCTTACTTAGGAGATGCCATTTCCATAAGGCAGCTAGGTGGCGCAGTGGAGAGAGCACCAACGCTGGAGTCAGGAGAACCTGAGTTCAAATGTGGCCTCAGACACATAGCACTTACTAGCTGTGTGACCCTGGGCAAGTCACTTAACCTCATTGCCTAGCCCCCCCCCCCCCCCAAAAAGAGATGCCATTTCCCATCTTTGGGCCCTTGCAGGGCCATCCCACATCTAGAATGTACTTCTCCTTACCTTTTCCTCATAGAGTCCCTCTCTCTTTCTTGAGGATACAGTTCAAGCACTATTTTCTGCATTAAGCCTTTCCTGACTCTCACCCTACCCTAATGCCTAGTGCCCTTTCTCCTAAACTATCTTTACTTACTTAACTACTTTGTATGTGTGTGTCTTTATTTTTATTTGTGCTTATTGCCCCCCACCCCAATTGGAATGTAAGTTCATTGTGCTTAGGGAATGTTTCATTTTTTGTACTTATGTTATCAGCACCTGGTACAGTGGCATATAGTAAGCTTTTAACAGATACTTGATTGTTGGATGGATTGATCCATAGTGAAGTACATGTAAATGGAACCAGAAAAATAATGAGCACAACAATATATGGACAAGACAACAACAAAACAGGAGAAGCTAAGTGCTGTGAAATGATAGTGACTAAGCTTGGCCAGAGATAGGAGAGTGTAATTTGCTCCCTTCTTTGCAGAGGTAAAGCACTGTGGATACTACATATAATGTTGGATTTGGCTTTATTGAACTACTTTTTAAAACTTTTTGTTATGAGGGATGTATTGAGAAATGTAGTTGATATAGAAACAGAAGATACTAATAAAAATTCAAAAATCAAACAGAAACTGCTTGCCTCACCTTAGTAAAACAGCAAAGCCCTCAGGAAAGTCAAGCCACCACTTCATCTATCACCTTAGACGAAAAGGGAAACATCCCGGGATCCTGAACCCAAGAGCCCTGGGAATAGTATTGGCCCCTAGATCACCAGCCCTGCTTCCACCCAAGCCCCCACAGCCATCATTGAGAAAAGTAATCTCTATGGAGAAGTAGCCCACCTTCCTTGCCACCACTACAACCAGCTACTAACAAACTGTCACTGATGTGGCAAGCCCAAGAACCTTAGGAATGCCAGTGCCCTGCATTACCATCTCCTTTGATGCTGCATCCCAGGGACCATGGGACTTTTCCATTTCACTTACAGCTGAAACTTTGCATACGTGTCATCTCCTCCATTAGAATGTGAGAGGTGAATGTATCGCTTCTTGAGAGCAAGGATCATGTCTGCTTTTTTGTCTGTATCCCAGAGCTTAAGGTACACAATAAGCACTTGATAAATGCTTTTTTATTCATCCATTCTGAACATGCTTCACCTACACAGACTGTAGGGGGCACCTAGGTGGCACAGCGGATAGAGTACCAGGCCTGGAGTCAGAAAAACTCGTTTTCCTGAGTTCAGATCTGGCCTCAGACACTTGCAAGCTGTGTGACCTTGGACAAATCACTTGACCCTGTTTGCTTCAGTTTCCTCATCTGTAAAATGAGCTGAAGAAGGAAATGGCAAACCACCCCAGCATCTTTGCCAAGAAAACCCCAAATGGGGTCATAGAGAGTCAGATAGAGCTCATACTAATGGTAAAATGTGTTCACACACACACACACCCCAAAACACTTAAAGCCACCATTAAGCAAGGCCTCAAGAGCAAGAAGAAGTAATTTAAAGTTGCGCTGGTTAAAATAGTACAGTGTGTTTTCTGTATTCATTAACAACTAGATGAATTGATGGCATCTGTCATTAGGTTTGTTCACTGGCATTTGGCTTACAAGAACAAACATTTGTGCTTGGCACTTCTTTTCTTATAATATGTTAACCATTCCAATTTGGGGACTTGAGTTATTTTGGGGTTTTTTTTTTGTTTGTTTTTTTCAGGTTGTGAGAGCTGCAGAGGAAGCCGCTTCAACATTGGCCAGTTCTATACACCCTGAGCAGTGTATCAAAGTGCTTTGCCCAATCATCCAGACTGCTGACTACCCCATCAATCTAGCTGCCATTAAGATGCAGACCAAAGTTATTGAGAGGATTTCCAAGGAGTCCTTGCACCAGCTTCTCCCTGACATCATCCCAGGCTTGCTACAGGTAGGGCTTGGGCCAGGCAACACCTGTGGGGTATGTACTTCACTGTATGTGATGGCTGCTGGTGTGGCTGGTGTTTGAACTAAGCTAGTGACTCATAGGCCAGATAAGACCATTCAGCCAAAAGTAACCTTAGAACTCTTTCATCTTGCTCGCAGGTACATCTTTATTCAGAGGGAAGAGGAATTAGGTGGTGGTCGGCAGTGTGTACTGCCTGTGCTGTTAGCATTTCAAAACCAGTGTACAGTCAGTAGTACCCACAGTGCCATTGAGATTTTATGATTTTCCCTGTATTTACTTGAATTTGACCCTCTCCTGAGTGTAATCTTGCTTTCAAAGAATTTACAACAGATAAAGGAAAATAAAATATTTATACAGATAACTAATGACGATGGGCAGTATCTCATAAGTGTCACAAGAGTAGACTCAATGAGGTGCTGCAGGAGATCAGAGGGACAAGAGAATGTTGCCAACAGGAGTGATCAGCAAAAGTGTGATGGACTCGATCGTAGAACTTTTAAAATTGAAAGAGACCTAATTCAGCACCTCAGTCTGTAAATAAGGAGCTGAAGTCTAAAGGCTGAGCTGGCCTTTGAAATGTCAGTGTAAATTCAACAAGTGGGATGTAGAGTAGGGCGGGGAAAGGGCTGCCAACAAAAGAACCCTCCAAGAGTGGCAGTAGCGAGGCCCAGAAAACGTGGGGCATATTTAGGGAAAATTAAGTAAAATACTTCAGGTTGGCTAGGGCATGTTACCTCTATGAGAGTAGTGGTAAATGAAGTTCAGAAGGTAAGTTAGGACTACATTATGGGAGGACTTTGAATTCATAGACCTCAGGCTTTAGTCCATGTGGAAGGGGAGCCACTGAAAGCTTCTGATGACACAGTCAGAGCAGGGAAGCATGCTATAATGGTGAGGGTGCAGTTTGTTTTACACTTTCAAAAAAAAATCAGCATTTTAATGAGTGAAACTTGCTCTATTTGGGGGGGAAAGAAAACTAAAAAACCATAATTCACTGGGTTTTTGTTCTCGTTTCTGTTTTTTCATTTTTCTTATCCTTTTATCTCCTTTATCTCACTCTGGTGCTCAGCCTCCACTTTACTTTCATTGTTACTTACTCTGCTTCTTTGGCCACCCAGGCATCATGTGGAGCTCAGTCCAACTGAGTCTCAACTGTCTTTAGATGAAAACTTTCTGGATCTAGGTGCATGTCCATGTGACTCTTCTTTCTCTCTTTCTCTTACTCTGGTAACTGCTCAGAAGCACCCTTAGGTTCCCTGCTCGCTGCGAGTGCAAAGTAAGATGATCAACATGCCCATTCATGAAGATGTTGAAAGACTTGTCTGAAGTCATCTTTAATTTTATTCTTCCTTTGTTTCTGGTCCCGTAGGGCTATGACAACACTGAAAGCAGTGTTCGTAAGGCCAGTGTGTTTTGCTTAGTGGCAATTTATTCCGTAATTGGAGAAGAACTGAAGCCTCACCTTGCACAACTCACAGGGAGCAAGGTATGTATAATATTACATAGTCTGAATATTTTTAGATATCTCTCTCCGTGATTCCACAAACCAGCTTTGATGCCAGCCTGTTGGTACACTTGATCACCTTGTAAGTTTTTGCTTAGCCATGTTTTCCCAAAAAACCATTGCCTAAAGATAAAAAGAACAAAGTAAACATCTTTATATGGACCCCAAGATGGTAATGTAAAATAATCTAGCGATTCAGTTTCTGTTTTATCTTTCAATACTGTTTTTTTATTTTGTTTTTGATTGCTAAATATGACGGTATTAGAAGCAATGCTCTGTACCTTCCTGTGCTGTGATTATGGTAATTCTTATGTAATCTAATTGTACTTAGAGGTTTATAAAGTAGCTTTCTCACAGCTGTCCTGGGAAGTAGATAGACGAGTATTACCCCATTTTACAAATAAGTAAACTCAGGATCTACGGAGATTAGTGGTCACCTTGTAGGCGACTTGTGGTCACATAATTAACAAGTGCCAGAATTGGGATTTGAACCCAGTTCTCTCCTGATTCCAGGTCTAGTGCTTTTTCCACTAGGCCACACTGCCTCTCTGTAAAATGTTTGTTTTACCGTTTTTGCATCAGAACCTAATGCTGGGAACATACTGGCTTTTATTTCTTCTAAATTTCTCTGGCTCCTACTGTACGTGAGGTTGTAGTTCCTAGGTCTGAAGAAAACTTGTCAAACCCTGCTTTTTTTGATCCTTTGCACCACATTTACATAGCAAGAACTTTGTTTATCAAGATCACAACCAGCCTGGTAGGGAGAGAAAGAAGTACGTGATATTGTCCCCCTTTTACAGATAAGGAAACTGAGGTACAGAGAGAAGGGACTTGCTCAGAACATGATGGCTAAGAAACAGCACAATGAGGTTGCCAGTCCAGGGTGTCTAATTCTATCGCCAGGACTCATTTTACTCCCTCCAGCTGCACCCAAGCACTACTGAGGATATATACCAGTACAGCTTGGGTAGATTTAATTTATTCTGATCCCAGAATTCTTTTTTTAAACATATAAACTTTTAATAGCTTTTCCAGAAGCCAAACTAACCCCCACATGACAGCAGTGTCCTTAAGGTTTTGACATTGGTACTTCATTATCACAAGATATTCTTTCAGATATTCACTTCCGTAAATAAAAGAAATTTCAACGTGTAAAGATGTAAGCGCAGATAAAACCAAGAAGCTAAATGTGTGGTACAAATGCCCACAGGTTTCTGCTGTGACTTCATTGAACAGGAAAAAGAAATAATTGACTGTAGCATTGCTCCTTGCAAAGGAGCTGTCCCTGTTAAACACAAATGAATCATAAACACATTTCTCTCAGAATTATTTGATTCAGCAACTTTGCTCAACTTTTAGGGGGAGGAAAGTGTTCTTTGTTTCCTGGGATGCTGAAATATGCATAGATGATTTAGCAGACCCATGATTTTATTGATGTCAGAACTCCCTGTACTGGGAGAGATCACTCCATACTTTGTCATCCTGCATAATTCTTGTCCGTGTCATTCTGTAAATTCTCCATAGAAGGTCCACCAGGCCTCCATTCTACTGCTTCATTTAACATTCCAGGGATACCTATATACCACTTGAAGTGTAATGTTGTCCTTCACTCTTCCTACTTTTACTATTAATAATAATAAATCACATTTATGTAGTACTTTAAGGTTTGCAGAGCACTTTATATCTCATTTGATCTTCACAACCCTGAGATCGGTGTTATTATCCTCATTTTACAGATGAGGAAACCGAGGCAGACAGAAATTAGGTGACTTGCTCAGGGTCACACAACTAATTAAGTATCTGGGGCAGGATTTGAACGCATGTCTTTCTGATTCCAAGTTCAGCCTTCTGTCCACTGTGCCACCTTGCTGCCTACTAAATGACCCACCCACCACCTCCTTTTCTAGCTATACACACCCTCAGTGATATGCCATTTCCCACATTCCAGTATCCACTGATAATGTGCATCCTCAGCTTTCCCGTCTCTTTCTTGGATTCATTTGTTGTTCCTCAAAATAAGAAGGAACTGGGAGACAACTTTGCAATACTAATAATTAGTTTATATAATTTATATAATTCTTTATATTTTTCCATACTTTTCCATACAATGGAACTTTAATATCCATTATGTCCTTTGACTCTTACTCTGACCATGTGAAGTAGTAGATGGAGTAAGAGTTAGAATGAGAAACAGAAATTTAGGCCCAAAGGAGTTTAATGATGTGCCCACAGTCATACAACTAAGTAATTTTGTAACAACACCAAGAACCCAAGTCTTTCAAAATCAATGAAATAATATATGTAAAGTCCTTTGCAAACTGTAAAGCACCAAATAACGTTAGTTTTATTATTATCCTACACTGTGCTTTCCATTACTCATAGTAACATGATAACTTCTGATGAAGCCTGGATTCTATTGTGGTTTGTAAGTTTTTTAATTAAAAAAAACAAACAAATTTTATTAATGACTTGAGTTTTTGCGTCAGTCGTTTCCCTACCCTCACACCCAAAATGGAGCCTTTTCTTAGAAAGTAAGAAAAACTTCTAAACGAAAATAGCCGTTAAAATTGCTTGGACTCTTTTTGCCAGTCAGCATTTCAGGCATTCCACTTATTTGCCAGTCATTGTCACTCAGAAAATGGAGAGGAAACTTAGTTTTCCATATCCTTATTTAAAGATGCAAAACAGATCCAGAGTCATTTTAGGGAGAAGGCAGTGGCATGAGGGTCGGGGGGGGAAAGGCTGCAGTTAGGTTGTACCTGAAATGAATGAACAAAGAAATGAGGGATTTTAAAAAGTAGAGGTGAGGATGGGGAGTACATTCCAGGCATGGAGGGGACAGCCAGTGTCAAGGTGTGGAGAAGGAGAAATAGAGTTCCACGTGTAAGGAACTGTAAGAAAGCCATTTTGCCAGGAGTGTATGTGTCTAAAAGGGAGTAATGTCGAAGAAGGCTAGGTCGTAAAGAGCTTATTAAATGCCAAACAGTAATCTATATTTGATCCTAGAAATAGTAAGGAGCCACTGGAGTTTATTGAGTGGGTCATTGACATAGTCAGATTTAGGCTAATTTAGGAAAAAAGCTTTGGCAGCTGTGTGAAGGATCAAGTATAGTGGGGAGAGACTTGAAGTCAGGTACCAGTGAGGAGGCTATTGCAATAGTCCCAGCAAGAGGTGATAAGGACCTGAGCTACGGTGGTGGCTGTGTAAGCGAAGAAGTGACAGCATTGAAGAGATGTTGTAGAGATTTAAAAAAAAAAAAAGATGCAAGATTTGGCAACTGATTAGTTATTTAAAAGTTAGGAAGAGTTAGGAATCAAGGATAACACTGATATTGAAAACCTGGCTGACTAATAATTATGTGCTTTACAGGAATAGGAACATTCAAGAGGGGTGGATTGGGCGTGGGAGATGCTGAGTTCTGTTTTGGATACCTACAGATGTCCGTCCAATTTGAATTGTCTGATTATAGTTGATGAAGCTAGTCTGGAGCTCAAGAGAGATGAGGGCTAGATATACAGATGCATAGTGCATCTACATAGTGATGATTAAACCTGTGGGAGCTAATGAAGTCACCAAAAGAATAGAGAGAGAGAAAAAAAGATGAGGGCTTTGGGCAGGATATTTGGGTTACTCCTACAGCTAGTAGGCATGATATGGATGATGAACATTCAAAGGGGATTGAGAAGAAGCCGCCTCATTTCTTGGAAAACCAAGAAAAACAAGTGTCAGAAACACCCAGAAGAAGTGTCCAGTACTACAGAGAGATCGAGGGTGAGGACTCTGGTGACTTTGGAGAGGGCAGTTTCAGATGAATGACAGGATCAGAAGCCAGATTGCAGAGAGTCCTGAGAAGAGGAAGTGGAGACAACAATGGTAGACGGCTTCTTCTGGAATAGAATAAAATGCTAACATTGTTACTTTCTTGCTCCTCTGAAATTTTGGCATGAAAATTTCTGTGAATTTATCCAAAGCCTAGCTGTCATTGTCTTTAAAGACCCATACTCATATAACCTAATCAGCTAGTTACTTATTTTAAAAAGTATAGGCTGGTCAGTTGGAGAAAGGAAGAAAGGCTTTCCACTCAGCTTAAGTGTAATGAGCTAAAAACGTCTTGTACAGATAGTAAGAAAAGAAAAAAAAAGATGTCATATACTGCCAGCAAACAATCACAGCTTCAGTTTCATTCTTTTTGAATTTTAGTTATGATTCTGAATTTTTTGACTTTTATATTAAAAGGCTTGATAGGATAATTCCACCACTGTTGGAGAAAGAAAGCCAGATATAGTTGTAGTCACCCTGGGTGAAGAGAGGAAATGAATAAATGGGAAACTTGGGCTTGTGAGGCTGTTGCTTTGTCTCCTAGCTGCGGTGTGTCTCATTGAACTAAGGATTACAAAGTTCCCTGGCTTCTACAGTTTGGATCAGTTTGTCTACATCATCTATCTCTATTTACCTTTTTCAGCACAACATAGAATTTTCTAGTTTGTCAGGGTGTTTTAAAATATTTTTGTGCCCAGGTAATTTTTAAATTACTATGCTTACTTTGATAAAAATATGTTGTTTTTCATCAAAATTTAAATAGCATGAATTTTGTAGTTTTTTCTTTGAGCATGTTAAGTTTATACTAGTAAAAGAACCTGTTTTTAAAACTGATTTATTCTTCTGATAATTCATTCTTATCTTTTTTTTTTCAGATGAAGCTATTAAATTTGTATATAAAGAGGGCCCAAACCACCAATAGCAACAGCAGTTCGTCTTCAGATGTTTCGACGCACAGTTAATGGAAATATCTGGACCTATTTGTGTAGACTTAGAAGCAATCAGTGGTGCCTCTCTGAGACCTTTCTTCTCCCCTTTTCTTCATTGGCACGCCCAATCAGTACAAGGAGGCCACACAGATATTTATTGCAATCAGTATTTTGGTCCTTTCAAGCTTTTGTGTAGAATCTTATTGGTATTGAATGTAAAGGAAGCAAGGCCTGTGTTGCAGTCTTCGTACAAAAAAAAAAAAAAACAGGAAAAAAAAACAGCCATAACATGTTTGTGCAGCCTGCTGAAATCTTTAAAAGGGGGTTTAGGGCACAGTGTTATAAAAATGAGCCCCTCTAGCAGTTTCTTGGTTTCAACTAAAGTGATTAATTTGTTTTAAATTAAGTTGATACAGATTTGGGGTTTTAGAATTGTGTCAGTTTCCTCATAATATTTTGTTTCATTATGGGTGTGACCCTTGCTGGATTCTTCACCTTTCACAAAGGAAATAGTGGAAGTGGTGTGTGTATTTAAGTTGTTGTTTGAAACCTACCAAAATGTGAATTATGTCTTTAGAAAACATTTAAAATTAAAAACAGCCTTTTACCGTGTTACTACTAAATGCCCCCAAAGGTTTTCGTTTTCAGTCTTTGAGCTGTATATAAAGTGCCCTAGCTTTTTAGTGTAGATTCTGAAAACTGACGACTCTTTAGTATTGACATTTGATTGAGGCTCACTTCCTTTAATTACATGATATCTGTTCCAGGGCTTAAAACTTCTTGACAGCTAGTTTAAAGTTCAGTCGAATCTAAAAACAAAGGCCAAAGTAAGTCATAAAATCATTTAGTGAGATTCCACTTGCCAGGATTGTAGGAGAGATCTTGCTCTAGGGATCTTTGTGGAAACATAATTTAAATACCACCCATGGGATAAATCTAGAGACCTTAAGTTTAGGGCTATGTTCCAAGAATTACAATTATTGTCCTCTGGTGACCCATTGATATTTGATATTTTATTCTTGGTTTTAGTTTAACCCTGAAGTTTCAAGGTAAAAATTTTCTCCATTCATTGAGTAATGACAGATATGGAGTTTTAGAATTTGATTTTTCTTTTTAGGTAGGATCAGAGACTATAGAGGTAAACCCAATAGATCATGACTCGAGTCATTTCTCATTTTATGAACCAGAATTATTTGTTGCCAATTTGTTGAAATAAAATCTCAGTTCACGGACAAAGAAAATTTCGTGTCCGTTACAGTAGGCAATGGTGAGAAGAGGGAATCCTAAAATTTGACTCCAAGTAAATGGTGAATAAATTAATCTTACAGTATATAAAACTTCATAGCTCTCCCTGTTAGCCCTTTCCACAGCTTACCTGACAGGCTTAGAATTCAGAGCCATAGAATGGAAGATAGGAGAAAATATATAACTTTTTTCCTTATTTCTAAAATTATTTTAGATATTTTATAAAAACATATAGTATGCACTGAGAATGAATGCACTGTAATGTCCATAAACTAATGTAGCAAGTATTCTCACACTACAGGATGGACTTTTAAAGTGTAATTTAAATATGTAGGAAATACATAGCTGCTCCTGTTAGAATTCAGTGGCGGGAAATATTCCTCCTGATACATCAACACTTGTCATTTGGTTGGAATACTAATTTATTTTAGGAAAGAGCACAAGAGGAGAACCATAATTTTCTCAGAAAGATTTTTGCAATCATATTTAAACTTTAAAATGTTAATTCTTATCCTTTGGCAATATCTGTCCACTCTGAAGCATGTGTAATGAAAATAAGTGATGATGGCTGTCTTAAATGAGTTAAATTTTATCTTACGTCTAAAAAAAATTTCAGTGGCAGACAAGTGTGGTTGAATGTAATTGGCATATTTGGGGCTGCAAAATATAGGACCAGGCCTTACTTTCTTGATCAAATAATATTTTGTTTGTTGACAGATATTCATTGATGTGATTTTTCTTTCACTACACAAGTCAGTCAAAGATTCTTTATTCTCTGCTGTAGAAATGTGTTGCACCATAGAAGAAACATTCTGGTTAGATTATTTATCAGTTCATTTAAATATAATGTATATAGTAAGTTTCCCTTTCCCTCCCTTTCCTTATTCCCCTAAAGAGTCCTGCATCCCCTGTGTCATTTAGTTGGGAAGTATCTTGAATGTTGCCCAATTTCCTTGTAGTACTCAAAGGGCTGGCCATGAACTACCACTTGCATAATCTTCAATCTCTTAACTTAACAAAAGAGAGAGAGAATGTACAATCACTTGTCAGCAAACATCAAAGTCTCTTGGCTTACAGATCTGGAAACTCTGATATACGTCAAGGAGAGCAAATTTGCATGCAGCCCATCACATCATCCTGAAGGTGAGAGCAGAGCCCGGCTGCCCCAGCCAAATCTCAGCGACTGTAGCTGCCTTTCCTTGCCTCTCCTGTCTTTTGGGGCTCTTGCTAATTAAAAAAAAAAAAGGAAGAAAGAAAGAAAGAACAAGAAAAAAAAGGAAAGGAATTCAACAGAAACTTTGCCTCCCCACTTACCAACTCTGAAATTTTCAGTGCCCTGAAAAAGCCCATCACCCTCTGGACCTTGGGGTTGCTATCCATTGTGCTATTGACATCACCACGAAGCTAGGGCATGGGCAAATCACTTGATCCGTACTCCCCCCCGCCCAGGTTTAAAGTACTGTAGTTCTCATGTAGTGCAGAAGTATTGAGGCATGTGGCTTTCTCAAAGTACACCATGTGTGCTTGGCTGGACGATAAATGACAACAATACAAGACTGTCTTTTCTATTGCTTATTATTAGCTTCTCGATAACCTGTATAAGTAATGCAACTTGCATCTTTGTCATATAAAACTTCTTTTCCTTTCCCCAATACCCTTTATTTATCAAGCATAATATTACGTATTAAAGGACAGCAAAAAGAACGTTGTAGAATTACAGCCGGACTTTGCTAATAATAATGTTTGGAAATAAAAAGGAAAAGCTATGAAAAATGTCAGCCACCAGAATGGTTTTGTTTCCAGTGTGTTCACACGCATGGTTCCCCACACAAACATACACACAGGCGCAAAGATACAGACACACACACACACACAATTTTTTTTTTGCTTTTGTCATGTTACATCCATATCTGTATTTATATCTTAATATTTGTTTCACTTTTAAGTGTATCATGGCAAATGTACAGATGTTTTTGTTAACATTAACGTGATAGGATTTGCTAAAAAACAAAAGACAAAAAAACCCTTTTGAGTTTGCCCTAGAATAAATAAAGCTTACATTTAATTTCTCCTGATTGTGTGTCTTTTTCCCCCAGTTCAGATTTTGCACATATGACCCTGGAATCAAAATGTGGCTTGTAGAGCTTGGTTAGGTTATAAGAGGTGTTTTTTTTTAAAAGGATAGAAGCAGATGAAATTTATGAAACTCACTCTAAGGGAGCGAATATCCTTTGTGTCATTTGAATATCAGGTCAAGCTGGATATAGTTCTAAATCCTCCATTCCTCTGACTGAGAATCTAAAAGCATGGCCAACTACAAAATGAACTAATTTGATCTGTGTCCAAAGAACCTTACTTCTGAATGTTCATTTCCTTGACTGTAAATAGGATTGAACTAATTGACTTCTAAAGGCCTTTCCAGGTCCAAATCCTATGTCCCATTGTATAAGAACCACAAACCATAACCGTAAAACGAGCCAGTCTCCTCTGTGTCCAGCTTTATGAAAGTAAAGCAATGAACAAGACAAATGGAGTAATAGAACAAGCACTGGACCCAGAGTTCCAGAGTCCCACTTTCTGATTCTGACTGCCACTAAATAATAATCTCTCTGATTGGATTATTTAGTGCCACCCTGACTCTAAATGGAACTACGTTCTTATATAATGCTAAGATTATATACCAAAATATGATTTCATCAACATGGATATTCCCTCCCTAATCCAAATAGCAACACTTTAGTAGATTTACTTGTGAGTTGCCACGGCCAAAAAATTGGTCACCTTGCAATCAAACGTGGCGAACTCCTCTGAACTTAGCTAGACTAGTCCGAGACATACTGTCTATCCTGCCTATTGCTGGGCCCATATGCTAAGCCTTTCTAACCTGATAGGAGGGGCCAGAACTTGTGTTCTACTGACAATATTACCCCTGGTGTTACTTCCAGGTCATGATAAGGTATTAGAGAAAAGTGAGATTGCTCTTTTATCCCCCTTCTTAGCCCACCCCACCCACCCACTCTTCACACACACAAAATTCTTTACCTCTAACCCAGGATTAGTCTGCGGTAACATTTTAGGCATAATTGACATTTGATTTGCTAATCAAAATGGAAATAAAACATTCACAAAAGCTAGATCTATGTAGAACCAACAACTCATTTCCAAACTTAGAAGTGTGGAGAACTAGAAAGAACACCGTCTAGTAAGGACAATTGAGACTCCTGTCCAAACTTTGCCACCAAGTATGGTATCGGGAAAATTCTAATCCTCTTTGAACTTCAATTTCTTTTGTAAAATTAGAGAACTGGACTAGATGATTCCTGATATCTCTGATTTTATAGTTTTAAGTCATATTCTGAGCTCTTTGGCAGATTTAGCTATTAAAAAAAAATAGCATTTACATAGTGGTTACTATGTGCTAGGCACTGTGCTAAACACTTTACGGTTATTTTATTTGGTCCTCACAACATCCCTAGGAGATAGGTGCTATTATTATCCCCATTTTATAGATGAGGAAACTGAGGCAAACAGGTTAAGTGACTTGCCCTAGATTGCACAGCTAGTAAGTATCTAAGGCCTGACTCCAGGCCCAGCATTCTAACCACTACGCCAACTAGCTGCCCCATTAATAATAGTATTGTTATCAACATTTTACAAATGACACAGAATTGGGGAAGGTCTGCGTTGCATAAGATCCCATAGCTAACAAATGGCAGAGCCAATATTTAAGTGTGTATGTAGGTAGTGCAGTGGATAGAGCCCTGGGCCAGGAGTAGGGAAAACTCATCATCCTGAATTCAAGTCAAGCCTCAGACACTTTACTAGCTGTATGACCCTGGGGAAGTCACTTAACCCTGTCGGCCTCAGTTTCCTCATCTGTAAAATGGGCTGGAGAAAGGAAATGGCAAACCACCCCAGTATCTTTCCAAAGAAACCCCAAGTGGTGTCACAAAGAGTCAGATGTGATTGAAACAACTGAACAACAGCAATACTTGAGTCCAAATCTACTTCCAAATCCAGTCATCGTTTCCATTGTAGCATACTTTTTTTTTTTTTTGCTTTATTTGGTCATTTCAGTGGTGTCCAACTCTTTGTGACCTCTCCTGGGGTTTTGTTGGCAAAGATACTGGAGTGGTTTGCCATTTCCATCTCCAGCTCATTTTATAGATGAAGAAACTAAGGAAAACAGGGTTAAGTGACTTGTTCAGGGTTACACAGCTAGTGTCTGAGATCACATTTGAACCCAGGTCTTTTCTACTTATTTTATATGCCTTCCACTAAATAATAAATTGGCATGTTGTCATCCACAGGGCCTAAAATAATTTTTTTTTTTTTTGCAACGGATGCTTTTTCCCTTCCTTCAGAAAAGTTAGTTATTCATTAACAATTTGAGAAATTTTAGCACCATCCTATTGTACCAAACCAATGCGTGTGAATGATTGAGATTTCTTTGTTTTTCTTCCAAGTGGTTTGCATTGTTTCCCTCACAGAGACTGGATGCTTCTAGAAACTTCAGGAAACTCTAAGAGTTATTTTATATTTAAAAGATAAAAGAAGAGGGGCTTATTAAGGGGAAAACTATGGGTTTTAAAAATGTCGACAAAGCCACATAATTTAGCTCCAGCTACTCCTAAGGTTCTTAGAGAAGAGGAGACAGGGATTCATAGTTTGCGTTTATATCGTATAATAATTATGGAATAGAAATGTGCTGTCAAATGTACATATATAACAATATACCATATGATATATTAGATATTGCACATCATATATTTTCAAAACAAGTTCCATTTACGCTCCTCCATTTGATCTTTACCATAACCTTTTAAAAGTTTGCAATGTGATTCTTGCAATCTGGTTTCAACCCCACCATTCTACAGAAACTACTTTCCCAAAGCTCATCATTAATCTCTTAATTGTTCAGTCCTATATATAGCCTTTTTTCAACCAGCTTCTGACACTGCTAATAGCCCTTTCATTATTAGCTTCCATGACACTACTATCTCTTGGCTCTACTGCCTAACTGCTTCATTTCAATCTCCTTTGCTAGATCATCATGAGCCTCCCACTCCTTAATTGTAGGTATACCTTAAGACTTGACATAAGCCCTCTTCTTTCTCTATACCCTCTCCCTTTGTTGATCTCATTCACTACAATTCTGTTCAATTATGGTCCTTATGCAGATCTCAAATAAAATATGCTGCTCTCTCCTGAATGTTTGTCCTACATCTGTGATTGCCAGCTTATGCGCCTGTCCATACAGATCTCCCACTGGCATCTCAAACTTAAAATGTACAAAACTGAACTAATCACCACTCCGCAAACCCATTCCTCCAACATCCACATTGCTGTCTTTTGGTTGAGGACACTGCCAACTTCTCAGTTGCCCAGGTTTATAAATTCAGGATTATCTTTGACTCCTCCCTTTTCTTCCATATCTGATCAGTTGCCAAGTCCACTGATTCTATTTCTTCAACAGTAACTTTAGTTTTTCAGTTAATGGTTCAAGACCTTCCCACCTTTCACCTGGACTATTGTAATAGCCTCATAATTAATCTCCTTGATACAAAACATTCCCTTTTACAGCCCATTTTCCATGCAGATGCCAAAATAATCTTCCTAAAGTATAGGTATTCGAAGTTTCTACGTTATTGGTCTGCTTAAAATGGATTGTCTCCTTCAATGGATTCAAAGGATAAGATATTAATTTGCCAGGATAGAACGTTTAGTACCCTTCACAATGTAACCTCACTCTGTCTAGCTTTATTTTTTGTTGCTCCAGCAAACCAATGAAATTGGGTTCATAGCTCTTCCTCATTTGACATTTCATCTTATGCCTCCATTCAATCAATCAACAAGCATTTATTGGGTTCACGAGGAGTCAGACCTGACTCAAACGGCTGAACAACAACAAAAGTATTCCAGGTCTCTTAGCACAGTGCTTGGCACATAGTAGGTGCTCAATAAATGTTGTTGGTGGACTATGGTAGTGCTAGGGATACAAATGCAAAGAATGAGCCGATAACTCCTCAAAAGGAGCTTCGATGAACATTCTAAGTGGGGAAGTAAAAAGTATATGACAATCAATCAATAGCATTTATTAAATGTTTACACTGGTGCCAGGTATTGTGCTAAGCATTGAGGATACAAAGAAAAGCAAAAGCAAAATTCTGGTCCCCAAGAAGCTTACTTTCTAATGAAGGAAACAGTATGCAAAATGCATACAAGATAGCTAAACTGCACATGGAAGGCAATCCCAGGGAAAGGGATGGAGATGAATTTGAGCTGAATCTTAAGGCCAGAAGGTAGCGAGGAAGAACATTCTGGGCATGAGGGACAGCAGGTAAAAAGGTATGGAGTGTGGGAGATATTGTGAGAAGATGGACTGTTGTGTGTAAGGAACTATGAGGAAAAGTACGGTCACTAAATCATAGAGTATATGGAGAGTTATAATGTCTAAAGAAGACTGGAAAGATATGGAGGAGCCAGGTTATAAAAGCCCAACAGAGGAATTAGATCCTGGAAGTAATAGAGAACCAGTGGCATCTATTGAATGGGGAGGAGATGGCATGGTCAAATCTGAACTTTAGGAAGATTAATGTGACAGCTGACTGGAGGATAGACTGAAGTGGGAAGAAACTTGAGGCCAAGAAGCCAATCAGAAGGCTATGGCAGGAGTCTAGGCATAAGGTATGCAGGTCTGCACAAGGATGGTGGCTGTGTGAGTGGCAAGAAGGGGACAGTTAGAGATCCCATAAAGGTAGAAATAACGGGATTTAAT